TCCAATATTCCGATGGTATCACTAGAAATTCATAACCTTCTACTTTGAAATGACCTGTGTTATATCAGCTGATAGCATTCAAAGCATCGACCGTAATTTTACGCCAGTGTCAATTTGCTAAAACTGACTGAAAATGTGCGCAATTTTTGAAAGACTGTAAAAATGAAAATAGGTAAATTATCGTCCTTTGTTCAATCGCCCTTATCTTCAAGATAAAATAATCTTTATTAAAAGAAAATGCTTTCCCTTGAAGCCAACCGCAAATTAGGAGGATATTATTAGCATTCTTGCATCTTCCCTGTACAGCACAGCACCCATGAGTAAGAAAAGTAGGGTAGCACCGTATTTGCTTAAGTAAAAGAAATTAACATTTAAGATAAGAAGACAAAATGAGATTTTTAAAAACTTTTCTCCACTAAAAAACTATTTAGATAAACTGTAGCAGGTTTCACTTGTTGCAAATAAATCACCTTTCAGAAAGAATATACGACATCAAAACAGGCGAGAGAAATCGCGGAGCAGAGTCTGCATACCGCTCGCGCTGAACTGACAATAATTCAGTCGGAGGTCGAAGGTCTCTTTCGTGCCGCCCAGTTGCCACTGGAGGCTGTCACCGATCCACTCCTGCCTTCTGAGAGCACAATCGGCCAGGAAAATCTACTGTTGTATCTAACCGCTGTGGAAAAACGAATTGATGATTTACTAAAGTTGCGAGGACTTCTGGGAAAGGAGGCAAGTGGGGTAAAGTTAACCTAAAACGAACATGCAATTGTCAAACAAAGGTATAAAAAGTAGCGGGGTTTTTTAAATTTGAAATTGAATACAAATTTGTATACAGCCCTTTGCACGATGTGAGTAACTTAGCAAGAGCCAATATGAAGTCCCAAATGGCAGTTTTCTTAGATAAGAGTCCCCGTAGGAAGATTATCTGTGTTAAGAGTGCAGCAATTGAACTATGTCAGATGAATAGATTCGTCTAGTGCTATTCTGGACACGTAAAATGCAGGATTGTGTGGCTCATTTAACGTCTCTTTGTAAATTCAGTTCCAGCCATAGCAAGCTGTGTACTTCTGTTTTTCTATAAACTTACATATTGGTTAATGGAAATGCCATGCGCCGAGTATTTAGAAGCACTTAGTGTCTTAAAGGAATTATTCCATTTTTACTTTCTTGAACAATACCTAACAGACTTAAAGCCAACTTTTTTCTTTTAACTCGTTCCCATAGTGTAAAAGCATATACGCTTTACTGCACTCAGTAATAGTTTTAAATTGCTTTGCTGTCCTTTCGTTTTGAACAGCACGCTATGTCATGCATAAACCTCAAAAAGACTAAATAGGTTTTGTTCCAACTCACTTTTGCAGGAGATAAATGAAACTGAGAGTTCCAGAACTTCTGAAAACGAAACGCCCCAGTCTACGCGGAAGAGCAGCGTGTTTTCTCTTCCGTCTGCGCGGTGAGTTTTTAAAGATCAATTTATTTGACCCAGAATCAATTTACTTAGTTTTCTGTGTCCTACTATCTACGTTACTCATGAATTGAATATCATCTCAACAAATCAAACAGCACCCAAAATCCCCAACAGATTAGAACTAGGAATGTGGGCCAGTGTTCCACCATCATCATCATCATCATCATCATAATCATCAAGTATTCGGTAGACTTTGGTTAAATCGTTGAATGAAGAACTTCCTTTTTCAGTCCGAGCTCTTGTAGAAACCGTTGGGTTGACGATAAAGAAACGCAGCAGAATGGCAGTCAGTTTTGTAAACATAAAAAATGTGATAATCAAACTTGGTTTGTAAAAAGGGTTGTGCACTTTATACTGGTGCTACTAAACGCAATAACCTTGTATATAAAGAGGCGTTTCCTAAAAACCATACCTTTTGAAATGTTTGCTTGAATTGAAATCAACAGTGAATGATGAAGGTAAGTGATCTACGGGTGATGCAAATTTATCACACTCGTTATCACAGTCTACCTTGTCTTTATCGGCAATACTATCTGCCTATACTTCATAATTTATCACAGGTAATTAATGATTTAGAAAGCAATCGATGAAACCAGTGTCTGAAATTTAGTTAGTACCCATGTTGGAAGTGAAGTGAAACAAATTTCTATAGTAATTATATAGCACTAATAGCTTTGCATTTGCGGATTCTTCCGCTGAAATCAGAGGTAAGTGAAGCATTGCATTGCAAAAAAACTAGGACGCAGTTACAAGGGTTCCGCTTCTGAAAAGAATTTCCTTACTAATCAAAATTTGATATATAATACTATGTATACTGGCTTTATAAGTCTCTGAACATTTATATCAGGGTCGTATGGATAGTGTTATTTACAATAGCATCCGTTTTAAGGGGATTCAGATCTCGTACTTTGTCTATGTATGCGAATTATGTACTTTAACTACTTGTAAGATGGTCGTCTTCACGTATTCTCGGTGTGACCGAAGTTAGTTGGTCTTCCGTCGTACAATACCTTTGAAAGATGCTCTTTGAAAGCTAGCAGCTTTCTCAACCAGGATTAGAAGCTTTGGTTACCGGATAATTGGTACGACCGCTTGGCCGATGAATGTGAGCAGTATATTTTAAAATCAGTGTTTATAATAGAGTAACCTCTAATTTAGGTAATGCTCACCATCCCAGTTAACACTGGTTCACAAATTTTTTTACGATTTCAGCGATGATGCAGGAAACCTATCAGATGATTCAGGAGCCGATCTTCGACTTTTGACGCACGAGGAAATAAACCGAATAATTATCAAGGAATAAGTGCACGAAACATATTCATTTCTACACTGTTTTGCAGAAAACTCTCCTATTCTTTCACCATGAACATTTGCTATATACATTTACCGACATTCTAATCATATTTAAAGCACTCAGCAAAAATATAAATTGATCTTTATCAGTGCATAGTTTATGTTACTGGCATACACACCTGATATTTTGCCCGTCAAAAATACCATCTGGCATTACACAAGCATATAAATTAATGGTGTCGAGAACTGTAGTAATATCATCATCACCTGCTACCGAGATTCACTGCAATTTTTGCAGGATTGTGGGAAAGAGATGTAAACAGTGTTATTCAAAAAATTGTGCAGGTTGTTTTAAGATTCAATCTGGCTAGCGTTGAGCCCATGCATTTTTGGCACACGACAGGAATTCAATCAGATGTTAGGGATTCAGAATGCCTAGATCCCTGCGTGAACGAGTGACAGTGAATCATACACAAAGAAGGATGACGATACCATTTTATCCCTATTTTGACTAAAGATCGATTGAAAGCTGCCAATATTTACAAAGTAAGTCCGTTCGCAGCATTTCCTAGCTGCAACGCACGTTTTTTACGTTAGTGCTTATTACTGAATCTAGTTGTTCGGAGTACAACTGACCTACTAGTGCAAACACAAGCGTACTAATATGCTGTTATAAATGTACAGACTCTTCTCGAAGCAGTAGTGTGGGGAGCAAAGCTAGCGGATAAGAATAAAACAGGGAATCTTTTTTCCTTACTGTTTGCCCCCAGAACTTCAAAAACAAGTGACGTGTCTATGATCGGCAGTCGCTTTATTGACTTCGAAAGTGAAGACGGAAGAAAATCTCTTTCAGAGCCAAGGAAAGTTTGGCTACAAAGAGAATTAAAACCCAGACATTTTTCAGTAGTACTTGATGGCGAAAAGAAATGCCTATTTGAAGGCAGATGTCCTTTCAAAATAGAAGACGTTTTCTAAAACACTCGGTCGAGGCGGCCTGTTGGTTTTGGATAGATTGTCTATCCAATCAGCTCCGCCAATTATAATAGAACATGCACAATTATTCATACAACGCAATTAGTTTCTTATACTCTTTTCTGGAATGTGGGATGGGAATGCTTTGGTTTTTAAATTATACTAATTACTAATACTTGCATACAGTGAATCAATACCTACACTAGCATTGGCCAATATATCTTCCAAACTACCTAGCGTATTTTTTCCTTGTCTAATTTTGTATGCTTCGTAAAATAATAGAGGAGCATCCTTTGATACCCAAAAAGCACTGCAACAGAATTGCACCCAGTTTTGTACTTTTTGAGCACACGCACTGAATCTGAGTCTAATAAGTTGCGTAAATAATACTGCGAGCATTTCATGCTTTTTAAACATCCGGAGAATGCAAAAATTAAGAATTAAACTAAACGCAAGTGAATTGTACCTGATAAACCTGTAATTTAAGCTTTAGAGGAGATATCGGGCCCTTAAGGAGGCAGCAAAACTTCAGGAAAAAATAAAACCTGCATAAGTCGCAAGTGCTTTCTCAGTATAACTTGATGAATTTGCTATCCCGAGGCAGCTTTAAAAGCAACTATGCTACCTTTTGTTACTCTTTTGACATGATGTCCCTTAAAAACCCGATTTACGTTCTCACTTAGAGGTATTGAGCATTTAAAATCACCTGCAATATTTTTGATCATGCTTGTTTCGAGGTCTGGCCATACTATAATATACGTGAAATGGAAATGGCCAAGCACACACTTTTTGTTCTTTAATTATAAAAAGGGCTTATTACCTTCCGTACTAAAGGCAGATCGGTGAGCGGCACTTCTACAGCTAAGATTATTCCCCATCGAGGCCAATACATATTGGACATGTAGCTATGAAATTTTTCACAAGCGAATGAGTCTATAGTAACACACAGTGTCTTCCCGTGGTCCGATTTCCACAGTCTCCATCTGACAAAGAAAGATAACCAAGAACTTATAATCTCATCCTTCCTACTTCCGCAGACATATGCCCTCTGAACTTCGCAGGCCCATAAAAAAATCAGAATTATAATAGAACACTTGAGGTTAAAATAAAATCTCAGGCTGTTTAGCAATGTTTACATTGCCTTTAATACTAACTTCATATTCAGCTGACCGGGGGAACTCATATTTTATTAATACCCATTTGGCTATTTAAGATAAATTGATGCTACTTCAAAGATCCAGTAGCTCAGTAATTTAGCCTATATTAACGGCGAGTAATTGTTGTTTGAAATAAGTTAACAAAAGGAAGCCACACGGTCACTGTTTTTTCTCGATGTGTTTTAGGGAACTTGCAACCTTTGTAAGGTTTTTT